AGCAGCTCATGCGAGCACGCGTCCCGCCGCAGCATCTGCCAGGCCTCGCACTCGAAGGCCCTGTGCCACAGCGTGCCACGGCCTCCGCAGAGGCGGCATAGGCCGTCGCGCGCCCTGCCCTCCTTCCAGAGGCGCTCCTGCGGCCAGTGGGAGCCGCCGAGGACCGCTGCGAGCGCTCGCCTGTGGCGGGCCTGCCAGTGCGGCAGCGGCGGCAGCGGCGGCGCGGGCTCCTGGCGGCCTGCGCCCTCAGCGGCCTCGGCGTCGGCCTGCCCATCGGGGCGGCGGCGCGCGTGGAGGCGGCGCTCCAGCCCCTTCCAGTGCACAGGCCATGCCCAGGCGCCAGGCCCGCGCAGCCGCTTCAGCGCAAGCACGTCCGAGGCCGGCGTCGCCGACTCACGCGCCACCTGCACCGGCATGCCAGGCGAGTAGAACTCCAGCGAGAGGACACGCGCCTGCCAGTCAACGACGGCATTGTAGGCCATCATCTCGATGCCGACCCCCCGCAACGCCAGCACACATGCCTGCGCAGGGCGCAGGGTCGCGGCGCCGCCCCCAGGGGCGGCGAAGGTCGAGCAAGCCTTGCGCCCCAAGCCAGCACTCCTGCACCACCGCGGCGCTGGGCAGGCCCGTCTCCAACGTCATGCCCCAGGAGCGCGCCACCTCCACCGCATGCACCACGAAGGGGTCGCGGTAGGCAGCGCCGTGCATCGCCCGCAGCCGCAGGCCGACGCTGGCGCCCATGGGCAGCCTGCCTTCCGCACGCATGGCGGCGACCCGCAGGCCATGCAGCTTCCCACAGGCGAGGCCCGTCACCGCGGAGCCCCAGACGGCGGTGGCCGCGGGGCTGCCTCTCTGGATGTGGCCCACCTGCGCACCTGCACTGCGCAGCAGGCGCGCCCTCGCGCTGACCTCCGCCGCGCGGCCGAGCCGAGCGCCCTGCTCGCGCGCGCGCCTCCAGCGCCCATCGGCGGCGTCACCGCCGAGGCATCGGGCGCCAGTCCAGCGGGCCAGCGGCCCATGCGCCCAGCAGCCGTCCAGCTCGTCACCGAGGTCCTCGCTGTTCGCCAGGTGGCCTGTCTTCGCCTCCGAGATGACCAGCCCCTTGGCGACCAGGCCCTCCGTGAGGGCCGCCATGGCCCCGGGGAGCTGCTGCACCACCTGCGCCCTGCCGCCGACCGCCTGCAGCAGCACGTCGTCGACGACGTTCTGCAGGCGCACCACGGGGTTCTCACGCGCGATCTCCACGAAGAGGGTGTGCACCAGCAGCTCGGCCAGCCCGACCGCGCCGCTGCAGCCCGCCACAATGGTGCCGTTCGCCTCGAACGGCTTGGAGACCGAGCCGCACCAGGGCACGCGGCGCTGCGTGCGGTACGACACGCAGTAGCACTGCAGCAGCGCGAGCGGGAACTCCGTGGCGGCCGCCTGCACGCGCAGCTCCTCATGGCTGACGCGCTCGTAGAACTTCGCCAGGTCGGTGACGCCCGTGGCCGCCGAGAGGCCTCTGCTGCGAGCAAAGGCCGCCAGGAGGTTGTGCACCACCCCCGCGCGCTCGCAGGGGCTCTCCGACGTGCCCCAGAAGGCAAGGTTCTTCAGCGAGGCCTCCCAGCGGGCCACCAGCGGCTGCCGCATCCTGCTCCAGACCCTCAGCCAGATGGCCGTGAGGCCGATCGGCCGCTGGCCGCCAGTAGCCTTGGGGATGAACACCGCGATCAGCTGCCACAGCGCCTTCCGCGAAGGCTTCCGCTCCCAGGCCATGAGGAGCTCCAGGAAACGCTGCTTGTAGGTCCGCGGGAGGCGCAGCAACTGCTTCGGGTGGAGCCTATCCCACCCAAGGCCACACCCCTCGCGGTAGGTGCCCAGGACCCGCTCGAGGTCCTCGAGCTCCAGCGGCGGCAGCACCGACCCCTGGATGTCGCAGTTCTCAGGCGCCGCCTCGCCAGCACGCGACGGCTTGACCCAGAGCGGCTGCCACGCCTCCAGCAATGCAGCCACTGCAGCCTCGCCCGCAACGGGCATGCGCAGGTCGTCGTCGCCGCCCACGCCCGCGAGCACCTCCGTGGGCACCACCGCGACCTGCTTGATGAAGCGGTAGGCCGCCGAGCCGCACTTCTCGGTGGCCGCGGCCTGGGCCCAGGCGCGCCACTCCGCGGCCTTCCGCTGCTTGTCCAGCCTCTAGCGCCGCCTCGCCTCCTCCTGGACGAACTGCACCGTCAGCTGGCACGATGAGGAGCTGAGCAAGTCCACCACGCGGGCCACCGACAGCCCAGCCAGCGGGCCTTCCTCTGGCCACTCGAGCTCGAACGCCATCAGCACCTCGCGCTGCTTGCGCAGCGGCGCCCAGCAGCGACCCCCTGGCGCCGCCTCCTGCAGCGCGCGCCAGCGGGCGCATGCCGCCGCGAACGACATCCAGCGCCTGCAGGCAGCGCCGACGCTCCTCTTGCAGCCCTGCTTCCAGGCCACCTCCATCTCGACCCTCTGCGTGCGTAGCCCGCCCGCGCGCCCTTTCCAGCAGCTGGGCGGCGCGATCTCGTGGAAGTCGATCAGGTAGGCCCCCACCGCCTCGAACCACTCCTGGCAGCCCTCCTTGAGCGACTGCCCACCTCCAGGGCTCCAGGCCGAGAAAGCACGCTCGAGCGGCGCTGGCCGCGCTGGCGGCGGCAGCGGCAGCGGGAAGGCGGCAGGGAAGAGCGGCCGCTGCACCTTCGCCGCTGGCCCTACGCCGCGGAGCACCACCTTGAACGGCACGTGGTCCTTCGTCGGCGCCCTCAGCAGCACCTCAGCCACGTCCACAAAGCCCGTGAGGACCCTGCTGACGACCGCGAAGTCGAAGACCTTCGAGCCTCAGGTCGGCTCCTCTGGGCCCACGAGCGCACCGCCTGCGCTGCGCGCCCACTCACGGACGTCTACGGGCTCCATGTTCCAGTCACCCATCACGAACCACGGCGACTCCAGCTGCCCCACGAACTCGTGCATCGCCGCCAGGAGCCCGATGTTCCCCTTCGCCCTGCCTACCTTCGTGATGAAGTAGGCCGAGATGACGCGGCACGGCTCCCTGAACCCCAGGTTCACCTCGCACACCTGGAACCGATGGGCAGGGGGCCCTGGCGCGGCGGCGGCCGCCGACGGCCGCAGCGTGGCCACGGCCACTCCTCCTGAGCTCTCCAGCGGCCCTGGGCCCGTCGGCAGTGCTGCCTGGCCATGCCAGCTGAAGCCGCGCGCCTGCATCCAGCCCGCAGCGCGGGCCATCGCCTGCTTGCCCTTGAGGCGATGCTCTTGGAGGCAGGGTACCGCAGGCAGCCGCCCCTCGTCGTCGTGCAGCCACTCGACCAGCGACTGCGCAGAGCCCCACGCGGTGGCGTTGGCCGATACCAGCTCCACCACGTCCGCCGCCCGCGGGCGGCTACCCAGATGCGGGGCCTGCCACCCGCTGGCGCTTGGCCAGCGCTGCGCGCCAGGCTGCGCGCTGCTGCTCGTCCTCCATGCCAACCTCGTCGAACACGGCGTCGAGCCCGACGAGCTCGGGGCCGAGGTCGAGGTCGTCGACGCGCTTGCGGTCCCCAGGAGGACCATCAGCGCCATCATCACTGCCCTCCTGCGCCGCGGCGACCCGCTCAGCTGCGGCTGCAGCCGCGCGGGCCCGCTCGGCCGCCGCTGCCTCACGAGCACGGGCGTCGGCGGCGGCGAGCTTCTCCACGAGGCTGCGGGCCTCGGCGGCCATCGCGAACAGGGCGCCGCCCTCCTCCCCGAGCAAGAGAACCCGCTCCCGCTCCGCCTCGAGGCCCTCGAGGCCCTTGAGCAGCGCCTTGCCCAGGCAGTCCTCGGCCTCCACAGGCTCGCCCATCTATATGGGCGACAGCCCCTTGTGCTGCTCCAGGTCAGCGCGCTTCCTGGCGCGAACGGCCTCGGCCACCTCCTCCAGCTGGTCGCGCCGCTTCTGGAGGACGTCCGCCTGCTCCGCCACGCGGACCGCGACGGCCGCCTGCTCCTCCTGGACGGCCACCAGCGCAGCCTCAGCACGGCTGACCTGGCCCTTGACCTTCGCCTCCCTGGCCAGGAGGGCCTGGAGCGACAGCTCGGCCAAGGGCTTCGCTGGCGGCGGCGCGTCCACCACAGGCACCAAGGCCCCGAAGTCCTGGACCAGGGCCGCCGACCAGCCTTCCCTGGGGCCAAAGTGGCGGGAGAGGGCCTGGCGAACGTCCTCGTCCTTGCCGCCGCTGCCGTTGGGCCGCTCCTCCGCCACCCGCTTGGCCGCGCCCTGCGCCCACGGCGCCGGCGTGGCCGCGGCGGCGGCAGACCCTGGCACGTCCGAGGCGAAGCGCACGCGCTTCGCCACGACCTTCTCCTTCCCCTTGGCCTTGGCCTTCGCCTTGGCCTTGTTGATGGCCTCGCCGATCGTGCCAGCGCCGCGCGGCGGCCGCGCCGCCTTGCAGAGCCTGCACTCCGTGCGCCAGGCCATGTTGGCGTAGCCAGCAGCACACGAGCGGCACGTCCAGGGGTCGCCACCCTGGCTGGCACCGCGCGCGCCACCTGCATCTCCATTCGCCATCGGCCCGCGGGGGCACGCCGCTCTGAAGATTGCACCCGCACGAGCGAGCACCTGGCTCGCCCCAGAACGGCTTGAGCCAAAATGGCTACGGAGGAGGAGGAGGAGGAGGAGGGGGAGGAGGAGGAGGAGGAGGAGGAGGAGGAGGAGGAGAAGGAGAGGAGGAGGGGGGGTCGCAGATCCTGGCACGAGGCTTCGCCATCGCTCGTACCTCCATGTCCCGTGCATGCTTCGGTTTCTCGCGTGTATGTTTCGCAAGATGACCCTGAATGCTCCTCGATGGTCCTTAAGCCGAGAAACAAAAACGCACCCGTCCGAGCGAGCCAAGAGGCACATGCGCGGCCCAGGGGATTGGGGGCTCGGGACGCAGTGAAATGGGAAGAGGGGGGCATGACATCTGTGGAGATAGCATTGCCACAGCCATGATACCCGCCCCCCTTGTCATCATCCCCCTCTTGGCCGCCCCCGAGGAGATCCTGGAGGCACATTCGGCTGGGAGCGCTCTCTTGGCAGCGCCCCATCCAGCCTCGCGCCGCTCGGCGGTGCGCGGCGCGCGAGAAGAGCGCGAGCATCTCCGCGCCGTCGCGCCGCCCCGCGGAGATGGGGACACTCTCGAGGAGGGAAACTGTACGCCCGCGCCCGACAGCAAAGGTTGTCCAAAACCGGCATCGACCGCTGTTGGACAGGCGGCCTCCTGCCTCAAATGGACAACACCCGCAGCGACGCCGACACCGAGTCCTGCTCAAAATGATCAAGAACTGCCGTCGGTCTTCGTGCCCATTCTTTCCGCACTTATTCCCCAATCACTGCTTGCACTGAAGGGGTCCTAGCGGAAATTGAAAAATCTGGCGAACGTGTCCCGCCGATTTTGGTGGTTGGTTGGGTTCCTGGGTCCTCGGTTCCAGGTTCCCGGGTTCCTGGTCGTTGGTTTCGGGCCGATTTCGGTGGGTTCCTGGTTCCCGGGTTCCCGGGTTCCCGGTCGATCTCCTTATCGATATCTTTATCGATCCCATCTCAAACCATCCACTGACTGGGGTTTTTCCCTGGTGTAATACCGAACTCAGGGGGGGAAACATCGATATGGAAGCGGCGATGGATCGCCGACAGATGGGCGAAGAGGCCCCGTCTAGCGAGACCGCACGCTCCATGGGAGGGGCGGGGGTCCCAGCCTCCGATCGGCGATGAATGGGCGACTGGTGATGGGCCCAGTTTGCACCACCGCTACCAGAGGTAAGAGGAGGAGGAGGAGGAGGAGGAGGAGGAGGAGGAGGAGGATCTCATTATTATCCCTTCTCCCCATGGTAGTGGTGGTGGAAAATTTGCCCATCAGACTGTGGGTCGCTGTTCCGCTCCTAGACCAGGTCCCCCCCTGAGAGAGGCGGTGTGAGACACAAGCAGCTACAACGGCCCTAGATCCAGAAGCCTCTCAGGCCGCCCTCTTTCTGGGACCCGCCGTCCACCTGCTTCCTGGTGGTGCAAAGACCATATCAACGACACGCACCCGTGGGAACCCAACTGCGTGCTACTACTGATGAAACGCCAGGGGCCTTGGACAGAAACAAACGAGCAAGACGCCGACGGGGTCCCGACGGCGGCGTGCCACTGATACCCTCTTTCCCTCCCGACTTCCGCAACCACGCGCCGAACGAGCCGAAGTCGGCACTCCCGGAAGCGCTCGAGGACCTCACCTCCCTCTCGATGTCGCTGCGCGACAGGCTCGGGTTCAGCGCCATCAGCGCGCCCTCGAGCTCCCTGCTCGGGCGACGGGATCTGTGCACGCCCACCGCCCCAAGGCCAGGTTGACCCTGTGCCAAGGAGCGATGCACGCGCCACCCCCCCCCCCAACCCTCGCGCCGTGAAACAAATCACGGCGGGCGGCCTCTTCCCACTGTCGACCCCGCAGGAGGGCCCTCGGCGGCCCCTCGGGCCGTCAACAACCTCGGGAGGAGAAGCCGGTCGCCGGGCAAGACCTTTTGGGGACCCGCGCTGTCCGCGCATATCAAGGCATCGGAGGTCTGAGGTTCTGCGTGTGCGGCTCTCTTCTCTGGTCAAGCGAAGGGGGGGCCCCTACGCAGCTCCGAGGGCCCAGGACGGGCCTGTTTGAGGGGCAGCGAATCTCTGTATATATATATATATATGAATATAAATATTAATCAGACCGACGGGGCCGAACGGTCATTCATTGTCCCTGAGTGCGTGGCTGAATAAGGAAGTCGTGGTGAGAATTCTGCTTGTTGCGTTGTTGTTGTCGTTGTTGTTTGTTGTCGTCGTCCCACCCGCGACCCACCCGCGACCCAACCCGCGACCCACCCCGCGACCCACTCCGCGACCCACCCCGCGACCCAACCCGCGACCCAACCCGCGACCCACTCCGCGACCCACCCCGCGACCCACCCCGCGACCCACCCCGCGACCCACCCCGCGACCCACCCTCAAGGGAGGAAAAACCACCCGGACCCGACAACTGACTTCTACAAAACCGGCCCTGGGGCGTTGACTAAACAGTCCTGCCCTGTTCGAATCATTCCTTGTGTGCTTTTACTAGACGGCTTCGCTTGCCGTGGTGATTATTATGGGGTGGATTTTCTGCCCTCTACACCCGCGACCCACCTCTGACCCACCCGCGACCCACCCGCGACCGACCCACGTGGGTTTGACGAAAAAATCGGCGCCTGCGGCGGCTCTTTGTGTCATTTGTGAAACTGTGGCGCCTGCGGCGGGCTTCTGCAGAGTCTCGCAAACTGCCGACCTCCCCACCGCCTCCTCACTCTTTTCCGCATCTGCGGGGTGCTACGTGTATATACATGTTCCTCTTCCTATATCTTTATAAACGCGGGCGGGGGGAAAACCCGTCCCCCCCCCACAAAACCGGACTCCCGGGATCTGGGGCTTTGGGGCCCTCCAGACGGGCCTCGAAGCGGCCACCGGGCCTCACATGGCGTTTTGCCAAGCCTTCCCAGCACACCTAGGGCGATCAGGGGGGTCATCGGAGACGTCCCAGAGACCCCCAAGACAGCACAAGAGCGCTCCAAGAGTGACCGTCGTGACCTCAAGATGGCCCAAGGGGCCTCCAGGACGGCCCCAAAGATGCCTCCAAGAGCACTCCCAAGAAGGCCCCCCGAAGCATTTTTTTTTTTAATGACTTTTGGGGTTCTCCTCTTTTCGGCTTCCCGACGCTCCAAGACGGCGGTCGTCTGGCCGTCCGGAGCCGCCTGGGAGGCTCCAAAATCGCCCCACAACCATCCGAAAGGGCTTCCAGGCAGTCCAAGAGAGCCCCCAAACAGCACAACACGGGTCCAAGATGGCCCTCAGAGAGCCCCATGGCGGCCCAAGATGGCCCAAAGACATCCTCCGAAGAATTCCAAATCGTGATTCGGTCGTTTAGGGAGACCGCGGTTGGAGGCAGGGTGGCCCGAGGAAGCCCCCGGAGGCCCCCAGAATACGCCCAGGAGGTCTCCAGAAGGCCTTAAGAAAGCCTGAAACAACTTTTGTGAGGCCCCTAGAGGCTCTCCAAGGAGGAGCCTCCGCAAAAAAGCTCTGAGGAGGATGAGGAGAATGCGCAGGGCATGGCGAAAATAAGGAAAACGACGCATGGAGGAAGGATAACAAATCACATTATCATAGCGGCGATGCCAGAAAAGGCAACCAGGAGTTATCGCTAAATTGTCGGCTTGACCTTCCTGCTCTTCGGCCTGCATTCCAACCTTCAAGGACTAAGGTGCATGGCGCGAAGCGCCACTGCAGTCTTGTATGTGTATATGTATATACATACATATATACATATATATATATGTATATATATATATGATCCAGGGTTGCCCCCCTTCCCCCCTCCCCCCCTCCTGCAACGCATACATTGAGGAGCGAACCCCCCCGGCCCCCCCCGCTGGATGGGCACGCCCGAGAGCCTCTTGAAGGCCTCGCGAATGGAATCGCTCCCCTCCCCTGTGGTCGTGGTCCTGTGGGCGTGGCGTGGTGGAGGGTGCCAGTGCACCCCCCCTCCCTCACCCTGTGCGTGTGGGGTGACTCGTCGTCGTCGTCGTCGTCGTCGTCGTCGTCGTCGTCGTCGTCGTCGTCGTCGTCGTCGTCCGTATTCGATCGTACGTGGTCCGTCGTCCGTCGTCCGTCGTCCGATGTCCGTCGTGCGTCAGCGTCGCCGTCGGCGTCGGCGTCGTCCCCCCCACATCCCATCCTGGAGGGGGTGGCCTGCGGAACCCTGGGGCCCATCCGATCTGAGGGAGAGGGGGCTGTGAACCATCGACCAGGGATCATATATCTCGTCGCCCTACCTGTCGGCGTTGGCGAGCAGGGTGTAGAACTGCCTCACAGTGTTGGTGACGCAGAAGCTTCCCCGGAAGGGGTCGTTGAGGTCCGCGCAGAGTCCAGACAGGCCAGAGAACGTGCCGACCAAAAAAGTGAACACGATGCGGAGACGCAGGGAGTTCTCCGGGCGCTCGCTCATGAACCTGCCCTCGTACTGGTCGATCTCGATGAGGAAGCACAACGAGATCGACGCCGCCAGCAGTGACAATATGGCCCAGTGGATCAGCGGAAAGGCGGTGCTCAGGCTGGCGAGCCGCATCGATCGCGCGTCGCTCAGGCGGCCGATGTGCGAGGCCAGGTCCGAGGTCATGTCTGGAGGCATGCCGCACTGCCTCGCGGTGCGCGCAATGCCCGTCAGCTCGCTCGTGCCGGCGCCCCGCAGCTCCAGCTGCCTAACGTCGGCGCGCTTGCTGGACTCCTCGATCAAGCGCGCCACGTACTGCCGGAACAGGGATATCATCCGCACGTAGGCCGCCGCCTGGGCGCCCCCTCGCGGGTCCACTGCCGCCGACTCCGACGTGGTAAGGGTCGCCGCCAGCATCTGCAGCTCGCAGGCCTCCTTGTTGAGGGCGCTCCTGATGTCCAACTGCCGCTGGCGGAGCGTCCACACCGTTATGGATGTTAGGGTGCCGAGGGCGGTGCCCAGAGATGCTACCACGATGCCGTTGGTGGTCGGATTCAGGGTGAGCTGCGTCAGCTCGAGCAGACCCGCCTCCTCGCAGATGACAAAAAGACTGCACAAGCATAAACGTTCGGAACTCCAGGCGGATTTCTGTGATCGGCGCTGGACCCCCCTCCCTGGCGCGCTGACGGCGACGGCGGCGCCGCCTGGGAGGGGGGTCCAGCGCCAATCCACTAGACTCGAGCGGACCTCCCAAGGCCCCAGGGTGCTGGGTGAACCTCACGTGAGCCTCTGTGGACCTCCGCGGCTCTATTACAATGGTTTGACCGGATGTCGTCAAGATTTCGACCACCCCTCCAGGGAGGTTCCCAGAAAGGACCACGCTACGTTTTCTTCTCCGACCTCGCCCAGGACGAAGTGCACGAGGGCCAGCAGCTGCGGCCACAACCCGAAAGCGACCACCGGACCGGCAAAGGGCAGCACGTAGATGGCCGTGCCCTTGAACAGGTCCAGCAGCCGCTCCGCTGGGTCCTCTGGTACGCCCTCGTAGAGAACATCCTGCAAGATCAGTCAGCATCGAATCGGGAACTCGGATCGGATCGGAACGTGCGCCGGATCGGGCAACATCGACACGAACCCGAAATCGAACCAGATCCGCCGCGCCAAGATGCACGTCAACGTCATGCAAGCATCGGGCCACATCGGGCCGTCGGGACATATCGGGACAGAACTGGATCGGGCCACCCGGAATCGACCCAGAACCGTTTCGCGACTCACGCCTGCGACTGCCGTTCGGAACGGCTCGGCCCAGAACGCTCCCAGCGAGGCGCAGGTGCTGTAACGCATCCCGAGGCAGGAAAACCTCCAGGAACCGATGGCCGTCCGAAAACCTCGACCTTCGACTATTCGATTCGGATCGAAGGGATCGAGACGTGGACCCCCAGAGGTCTGACCCCCTGGACCCCGTCTTGTGACGGCCCCGGGGCCTGGCAATGACTCTCAGAGGCCGACCATGGAGAAAAGGACCGTCCGTCGCGTTTGTTCACTTCGCGGGAGGGTCTGGGAACGCCTTGAGGCACGACGACGCGGAAGAAAAATACAACATCGTGAAGAATGCCCTCCAGAGCCCACGACCCCACCTTTCTACTGCATGCTTCACAAGCCGAATCCACCTGCAATGGTCCCGGGGCCCGGAACTATGCGAAAACACCCGCCTCAAAACATTACGACGCCAGGATCTGAGGGAGGGCCTGGCCAAGGCCCCGAGAGGCCGACAACTGCTAAAAAAACCTACATTTAAACTATGTCCAACACTTCGGAGGTCTGTGTTGGACCACATTCGGTTCGAAAATGAGCAACGAATAACCGATCCCGGTACCTGAGCATGGAATAACCGATCCCGATACCCACTGGCCTGGCCTGGGCCCTACTGGCCGATTTACCCCTCTAGGTGGGGAGGAATACAAGCTTCCTCCTTCGAGTTTCGAGAGGCGTATCCTGGGGTCGTGGGATGGTGGGGATCGGGATGGGGATAGGGATCGGTCAAGCGATACCGAGCAAAGGGCCCCGCATGATCCTGCGGCACCAGGCAGCCCTGCTCTGGAACCCTGGCCTGGAGGGCGTCCGCCGCCGCCTGCCGCACTGGCGCGCGCAGCGGCCGCAGCGCGGCGCGCCCGCGGCGGCCGCTGGCGGAGGGCGCTGTTCGGGGGACGTCGGCTGATAAAGTAAAGAAAACTATGCGCACACGCACACACACACACACTTTTTTTGCGTCGGCGGCTGGGCAGAGGGCGACTGCTCCGGCGGAATGGTAACAAGGGACACGCTGTATGCAAATTAGGCCGCGATGCACGGGGAGGGGCTGGCATGCGTAACGTACGACCGTGACGCGCCAAAAGATGAAAACATCTCCTGGCTACATCGCCGATTCGTCACCCCCTCGCGTCGTGAAAAAATGACGACGGAAAATATGTTGTCATCTTCGCCTCACCAGGTCTCGGGTGTCGAAAACGCACTGGTAAGCTTAGATATATGTTCCGCCTTAGGCGCTCCCATATCCCAGGCTTTGGCTCATATCGCATGAGCAAGAGAGCGAGACGAAGCATGGGATCTGGAGTAAAGGATAGAAGGGGCATCGTCAATGGAAAAAGTATTTTCCGATCTCAGATACAAGTCGTGCGCCTCGGTGAGGCACAATCACATATTAGGCCGGGCCCGGCTTGAGCCAGGCACGGCAGCGGTGCATGCTCGATATACATCTCGCCTTTAACCTTCTCCGTTTAAAGTCGGAGGGGGAGGAGACGAGCAAGCACCGCACTTCTACATTACACGGAAAAACAGTGCTAGGCAACAGCGGCTGCCTACAAGGCAAGGGCGCGCGAGTAGCCTCGCTACCGGCGAGTTTCCTCGCTACTAGAGCGCACCTGCATACGGGTTTCCCCGCTAGCTCGGGAGGCAGGGCCGTCCTGAGACGACCTGCCCGCCCTATACGGAGTATGTTTCTTCAGCTCGTGCTTGAAGGATTGCTGACCGGCCATTACTTGTAGGAGCAACGCGCGGTCAATACTACCTTTGGTATGACCATCGGCAGTCATATCCCGCGTGTCACACCATTGAACGCTTTCAACGATTCCGCGCTCCATCATCTGGCGGATCCAGCTAATGTGCCCAAGCAGAGTACATTCTGTGGGCTTCTTCAGATCTTTGCTAGACAAAGACTTGAAGACAGACTCGGCATCAATAGTCAGAGTGACTTTGATACATAGACCACCCATTTCCAATATGTTCTTTAACTGTGTGGGGGTCAATGGTCCCGAGTGTAGCTCGTGGAGCGTTACAATGGTCGGGTAGCAGTCTTCCAAGTTGTGGGCTGCTGCCAGTGTTTCCGCAGAGTAGCTCGAACGCACCTGCAGTCGATGAGACTTGCAGTATGCGTCCACCAGGTGCACGACGGGTTTCCCCGCTTGCGTGTGGCCACGCCTCAGCAGGTTAGCCCCGCGGATACCGTAACCTTTGACTTCGTCGTCTTCATCTCCGTTGAGACGACGATAGCCAGAATCGCTATGCAGGTCGACCTCTCCTGTTGGAGTCATAGCTTGATACACTATCTTCTTCGGACCTGCCTGCAATTTCCTGGTAACCGCGTTCAGTCGTCGTACCTGGATGTTTGTCGGTTCCTGGATACGTTGTAGTGAGACAACATAGACCATCAGCCATATCTGCGTGATCAACGCATAGGCTAGAGCGCCACGAAGACTGACGAACATGTCAGAAATCGTCTTTGTCGCTTTGCTCTCAGGATCAGCGCCCGTGAGCTCTGGATGTGTGATAGGACGAAGCTGTTTGATGTATTCGTCCTGATCAAGGGTGACGCTCCCATCATCGGTCTTGTTGTACCGAACGGCACAGTTTGTGTATGTGTGCTTGTTCAGTTTGCACTTTCCAAACGTATCTTCAACACACTTGACATACTTGTCAATAGAATCTTCCTTCCCAGTCATATTGATATCATCAACGTGTTTGGCTGTCAAGAGGTTTGAGCTCATCTCGAATTCTTCGTCGTATGAAGTAGGCTGTAGTCCAAAGCTCCTAGTGATGGACCTGAGCTTCAACGAGAATGCCCCGGGGGCATCCTTCGTGCCCGCCCCCGGCTTCAAACACCGAAGACAATGCTTTGATTCGTCATGTGACTCAAAGCCTGGCAGTGCACGAAGGACAGCTGCTGACCCAGGAGGTAGTGCGAAGCACACCACACGCTCTTTCTCGCCCGTTGCCGCGGCGAGCTCGCTATAGGTCAGTCCCTTTCAGAAAGCCATGTTGATGTCCAGGGAAGCGATGATCCAAGCTTTGTTGCATGCAGCAGAACTTGCGAACAGTCTCTGGTTTGACCTCCTGGCCGTGCCAGAGAAGGTTTCGACATCGAAGGCTTCAATGTCCATGAAGCCACGGAGTACCAAGCGTAACCTGATCGTCCGTTCCATTTCGCCCTTCTCGTTCTTGACAAATTTCCATTTGTGTACGTAGCGTGAAGTCATGATGTTCGACGCTTTGCTCAAGTCAGTCATCTGGAAGCATTTGTTGTCAAGCCAAGTCTTCAATTCTGTGTAAAGGGCTTTGGAAACTTTGACCGGATTCGCTTGAATGTCGGCCTTCGTGAGTAGATCGTCTTCCTTGACGACCGCGGCGCGTTTGGAGGCAGCACTAACGTATACTCGCATAGTTGTGACGCTGCTGTCATCCAACAATCGGCGTTGCTGCTCGGACAGGACGACTTTGGACATGTCTGCTGTGAAGCAAAGCTCGATGTACTTCCCGTGCTCATCGGAATCCAGATCATATTTGCTGTCCGGATCCGTGGAGCACAAAGGAACGTAGTAAGAAGTGTCCATGTCGTATCCTGGCGGGTGACCCCGCTCCGGCAAGTGGCCTTGCACATCTTCACAGGTCGTAGAGACTAACACACACTGTGTGTCTGTCATGTATGTCGGAACTGTATGCATGACTTCTTCTGTGTCAGCTTCAAGGAGTGTTCTGTCATCCATCAGTTCAGCATACCACGACTTCAAGACAAAGGCATCCAGATCTTCTTCTGTTTCCTCTATGATGGTCGGGAGCCGACCATCATTCTCCGCAGGAGGCTGCTCAGGAGCAGCTGCTGGAGGTGACTCGCTTGGTGGTGGACCATCAGCGAGTTCCTCAAACTTAGTGAGGTCTCGGTCGAATCCAGCAGGCGGCTTCTTGGATTTAAGACACTGGATGATGCGTGAGTGTGTAGATCCTGTGATGTCGTAGATGTTCAAGGCAGTGCCATCAGCTTCATAATAGTGAAAGCCAGGGGTCACATCGTTATCATAGTGCACTAGTGTACAGCTGTCTGCATAGGGAGCAGCAGGCAACTTCGTCAGGCTCTTGGCAAGTCGTACAGCAACAACGTTTTCAATACGAAAATAGTTGCGTATGAGGTACTGAAGAGCCAAGTGCACCTTAGGCGAAAGCCGGCTCGCAGCAGTCATCTGCAGCCGGCCCTGTTTCGCTGGTAGATATCCGAAAGTCATGGCGGGTTTCCCCGCTGGCAGACCGGCAATAAAGGCCAATACTGTCCGAAGGGCCGTATTGTCCGATCCTATCTCGCGGACCATCAGTGCTTCGATGTACAGCGTATGTCGTGTGTCAGGATACTGTACTCGCACTTCGCGACTACCGACCTTCACGATGACCTGGCCTCGGTCAGGTTCGTTGCGGATGACCGGGTATGGACCACTCCATCCACCCCAGTCGTCTTTCGTGGTGGTCGGGCGATGATAGTCCACGAGATCTCCCTCTTTGTAGTGAAATTCACCCGTAGCAGTAGTCTTCGTACGGAGAGCCCTGTTCGTCTTGGCAACCGCAGTGGCCTGCGTAATTGCCTCCAGACTAACCCTCCTGATTGTCTCCTCCCTTGAGTGATCTGATGATTCAGCGGACTGATCATGATCCAAGACAGGGAAATCGGGAAGCATAGCTGGTTGTCTGCCGTACAGCGCATTATACGGAGAAACTTCGTTGTAGAAGGTAAATGCGTTGCTGGCAAACAAGGCTTCATGTAACAGACGAGTGAAATTCAGAGGAATATTCAACCTATTCAATTCTTCTCCCATCACATGTATGAGGTGTCGCAGGATGCCATTCCTAGCTTCGATAGTCGTGGCGTGTTGGCCACGCGCTCGGATACGAAGCTCTGTTCCCTTGGATTTAAGGATGGCCTTTGCTGTATCGTTATTCAGTGCTCCTTCCCCATCGGAGTATAAGATTTTAGCAGGGCCATGTTGCATCCAAGTTGTGTGATAGGCATCGAGAACAGTATGCATAGTCTTATCAGGAATCTCTGTGCCAGCTGCCCAGCGAATACAACGGTCGATGATGTGAAAAACAATATGTTCCTGTTTGTAAAAGAAAAGATCACATTCGACTTCCTCGTTGAAACGTCCTGGCAGTGACACAGAAGGCATCACCGTGTTGCCTGGTTTGTCCCAGGCACGACATTCTCTACACGAGTCGCAAATGCCTTTGATCAGACTCAAACGGGTTTCACCCAGACCAACCTTAGTTAGAATCATCCGCATTTTTGGTTCCTTGGCATGAAACCATCTCAAGTGGAGTTTGCGGAGTTCTCGCTGCACTACAGCTGGGTCAAAGCTGCGCAGGTTTTGAAGGCTGAGCTGAACGTCGAAGCGAGTCCAATCAGGAAGCCTTGGCCTTGGCCTCGGCTCTGCTTGAGGCTGCGGCGGCGGTGGAGGATCTCCTCCCTCCATGCGTCCGCGCCTTGCTGCAACTTGTGGCAGTCTGCGGTGATCGTCAGAGCTACCAGCGCCAGAGGTGTTACCATGAGCCCCCTCGGCCCTGGTAATGTCATGGCTGCTGGCGCCTGCGGTTGGATCGCCCTCGCCGGGCCGTGGCGGCCTAGGCGCGCGTATGCGCGCTTTCGCGGCCGGCGCCGCTTTTGCGGCTGGCGCCGCTTTTGCGGCTGGCGCCGCTTCTGCGGCTGGAGCCGCTTCCGCGGCTGGCGCCGCAGGAGCGGCTTGCCCCGCTGGGCGCGGCTGACCAAAGTTATCTGGCAGCTCCCATTTTTCGGCGAATCTACATTGCCCAGATATCTTGGTATGGTGAGGATTGCTCTTCTGATATTCCTTCTTACAGCTCGGACAGTCCCAATAGTATGGTTCAACATCATACCAGCGACACATCTTCGGATCCCTGCTGTGTCTTGGTGATTGTTTGTAGTTGTTGTCTACACAGCCAGGACACCCAAGACCGCCAGGTGGTGGTCGCCAGATTTCTCCGTTTGGG